ACCGGTTTGGAGGGTGGGAGGGGGATCAGGGCTGAGGCAGGGGTCAGGGTGTGGGTGGGGGTCAGAGGTGCAGGCTCTGGGCGGCGCTTACCTCAAGCAGCTCCCAGAAGTAGCGGCATGGTCCCCTCTCCAGCTCCTATGTGGAGGCGCAGCCAGGAGGCTTTGCTGCATGCTGCCCTGTCAGCAGGCGCTTCCCCTGCAGCTCCCATTGTCTGCGGTTCCTGGCCAATGGGAGCAGTGGGGGCCGTGCTTTGGGTGGGGGCAGCTTGCGGAGTCCCCTGGCTGCCCCTATGTGTAGGAGCTGGAGAGGGGACATTCTGCTGCTTCTGGGAGCCGAGCGGAGAGGGGCAAACCCCCAACCCCACTCCCCGGCGGGAGCTCAAGGACTGGATTAAAACGTCTGGAGGGCCAGATGCGGCCCTCGGGCTGTAGTTTGCCCACCCCTGTCCTAGGCCTGTGTCTCCTCAAGACAGTTGTAAGATTGTCAGATTCAAGTTGATTTGCTCTGGATTCTATATTTCTTCCATTTTGTTTAGCCATTTCTTCAGTATAGGAATTTCTTTAGGAGCCCTAGCCCAGTAGTATATTTGTATGTGGCTGCAATTAGTTTTTTGAATAAGTGTTGCTCATTGTTGTTCTGAATGATTAAGGAGGGTTTATCCCCCAGAACATTGGTTCTCAACCAGGGGTACTTGTACCCTTGGGTTTACACAGAGGTCTTCCGGGGGTACAATAACTCATCTAGATATTTGCCTTGTTTTACAACAGGCTGCATAAAATGCACTAGCGAAGTCAGTACAAAGTAAAATTTCATACAGACAATAACTTGTTTATACTGCTCTATATGCTATACAGTGAAATGTAAGTACGAGATTTATATTCAAATTGATTTATTTTATAATTATAGGGTAAAAAGAGAAATTAAGCAATTTGTCAGTAATAGTGTGGCTGTGACACTTTTGTATTCTTATGTCTGATTTTGTAAGCAAGTTGTTTTAAGTGAGGTGAAATTTGGGATACACAAGATGAATCAGACTCCTGAAAGGGGGTACAGTAGTCTGGAAAGGTTGAGAGCCAGAGGACTGGGAAAAGGCAAATACAGTACCTAGTTGTAAAAACAGGGAATTATAGTCCAGTCAGCTTAATTTTTGTACCTGGAAAGATAATGGAGCAAATAATTACACAATCAATTTGTAAGAGCCTAGAACAGGGGTGGGCAAACTTTTTGGCCCGAGGGCCACATCTGGGTATGGAAATTGTATGGCGGGCCATGAATGCTCACGAAATTGGGATTGTGGTGCGGGAGGAGGTGAGGGCTCTGGGGTGGGGCAAAAATGAGGCATTCAAGATGTGGGAGGGGGCTCCAGGCTGGGGAGTGGGGTGGGGTGGTGAGGGCTCCAGCTGGGGGTGTGAATTCTGGGGTGGGGCTGGAGATGAGGATTTTGGGGTATAGAAGGGTGTTCTGGGCTGGGATTGAGAGGTTCGGAGGGT